TCCTACTGGGGCATATGGTGGTTAAGACCATGGGGGATAAATGCCTTAGAGATTGCCTCTCATGGAGTTGATATGCAGATCTTTTGGTATTCCCCACTGCTCTTATGGTGGAAAATTCCATGGTAAGGAGTAGAAGGGCTCAGTGACATTGTTCACCCAGTGTTTAAAACTGTTGTCAGATATTCTTTTAAATAAAACTATTAGCCACATGGTGATTGCAAACCTGATTGTTTTTAAGAGCCTTTGTTTACAGTGTTTGGTTATTGTATTGTATGAAGAGTGCTTTTGACTAAATGTAGAGAGATACCTCATGATGCTGTCTGCACAACAAGTTTGAAAATTAGAGGTATTATCTTGAGAGTTTTATCCTAGTGTTTTACAGATTAATAGGAGACAGAATGTTTTGCTACTCCAGGTAACAGGCTTTTTGTTTTGTAACTCTTTAAAGTGTTGGTTTTCTCCCTTTTGACACTCAGGGGATTAATTTACTATTTATTTCTTTACATCATACCCTTAGAGAAAACAAAAATACAAATAGATCTTCTGATTGGTATACTGTTTTTTTCTTATAACTAGGTATTTTTAAAATAAAGTTGTATGTTAATGCTATTTCAAAGCTTAAAAATACAAAAATCCAGTGAACACTGCAGATCTCCCATTACTACAGATTGCACCATTGAGTTAATGTAATTAACTACCTGTCAAACAATAATAATAAAGACCCTCAGGACGAAATGGTGGTATGTAGGAGAAGTTTGCATGTGTTTTAATTTTCATTCATTCATCAACTTCTCACCCTAAATACAAACAAATATGACTAACTTTCTGATACTGGAAGCTGATTGGCCAATTTATGGATGATAATAATGAAATTTTAGTACTCTCTTGTTCACAAAGCACTATTGTCTATGTATCTTAATAAAACTGTGAGGTAAACATTACCATCCCCACTTTAGGATTAAAGAAACTAGGACTGGAACAGATTAAGTTTTGACCATGGACAAAGTAATTTGAATCTAGAACTTCCGATATCAGACTCATTACCATTTTAGTGTTGCCCACTTTAGCTACTTTTCAGATTAATGGAGAAGAGCATAGAGTATTATTTCTAGTCAACATCTTCATTTTCTCAGTGAATAAATTAAAATGAACAGTGGCCTTGACCTTAAGGTTGCCAGACTTCAGAAGTCCCCCTGCCCCTACTGCCTCCCCACCCAACTAACTCTCTCTCATCCTCCCTCCCTCCCTGTCCCTCTCCCCACCCCTCAGCTTTCTTAATGACCTGAAGAAAAGCACTTAGGTCTTTTCCCTAGTAAGAGTTTCTACTTCAGAGAAATAGTCAAAAGATAAGATACATAGAGGAGTTAGAAAAGCAAAAAATAATAATAATAATAATAAATTAATTAATTAATTACAGTCATGTACTCTGATGTAAAATTCCTCACCAGAGATGTAAAATTCCTCACCAGAGACTCCAGCCTATCTGGTTTTACCCCTGAAGGGCAATCTTGACCTTTCTTTTCGCTCTTAAGCTTACAGAGCCAGTAAGTCCAAAGAGTAGGTTTTTGTGCCAGGCATTCTTTTAAGTGCTTTACATGTATTAACTTAATTAATCCTTACAATAATTTTATAAATCAGGTACTAATACTGAGCCATAGATTAAATAACTATCTAAGTTTTCACAGCTAATGGTACACTAAGATTCGAACCCAGCCTGTTAATTCCAAGGCTAGAATTTTTACCTGCTGGGCTCTTCTTTGAACTAGATGACTGTTTATCTTAAATGAGTTAAGTGCATTTTTCAGGATCTCCAAATTGAATGAAATTCCTTTCCTAAGGTTCCCAAATCTCACAAAAACAGATTTGGGGGCATCCCTTTAGGGTTTTATTATCTCATTTTACAGATGAAATTAAGTGACTTGGTCAAAATCTTAGTTAATTATTAAGTGGCCGTGTTAGAACCCTGGGTTTTGGCACACTGTTTTTGGCACTATAAACTACTACTGTCACTTTTTAGCTCATTAGCTACCATCAGTTCAAGTGATCCACCCATTGTGAAATTTTGTTACAGCAGCTAAAGCATGTCCACATCTTTCACTCACATTTCAGTGCATCTTTGTGTCTTTCCTGGAATACAGTTAGGTCAGCATGTAAGTCTCTGGTTTTATATGGTTTTACAGTGTTTATACCTTATGGAGGGACACATGAAGACACCTTAATGGAAATACCTTATGGATATAAGGGACATCTATTACTTTAAAAATTTTTTAATGCTTTAACATATAATTCCATAAAAATTTAATTTGATCATAGCTAATAGTGTAAAGAGCAAAATTAACATTTTAGAATATCCATATTTCTGAGCCTTGAAATGGTCACCAAATGACATGACAAAATTTGTTTCAAATCTAACTCAAGCAAGAGTGTGAAGAAATCCAGCAATTTTTCTACAGGGACCTTTGTGCAGTTTTGTTTTTGTTTTTGTTTTAAAGAGAAAGCTCCTTTTGACTTCATGTGGAATAAAAAAACTAGCTTAGTTTATTTCATGCTGCTCAGTCTAATTTGGAATCATTTTTGAAGTCCTAGATGCTTGGGTACAGAGAGCTTGCTCCCTAGAGCCTTGTTTCCTGACAGTGGAGAGTAAAAGATTAAATTGAGCTGAAATGAAATTGACTGACATTTTGACACTGCAGATTGTGAAAAGAAAGGGAATTTGTTCAACTTTTTAAAAGAGACAGCAGAAAGAACTATTTCCTTCAAGGTACCCCAGTTTGCAAAGATTATATAATTTTTTTCTTAAAAAGCCGAGAGGCATGTTCTAGCATTTTCCTAGTTTCCTATATTACAGTTCAAAGGGAAAATTTAACTATGAAAAGCTTTTGAAAAGGCCTGGATGGGGGTGTTAAAATACTCTCCTTCAATGAACAGGCACTGACAGAGGTCTTTTAAGGAGAAAACAAAGGACTACGCACTTCTAGGGTGTCACTATAGGAACCTATTTATAAAAGACAAGTATACATATTTATGGAATCTTTACCTCTATCGTTTTTAAATGCAGGAGATATTAAGTGTGAACTGAATAAGATACATGTCCTGCTGACTTATTTTTCAGACAGATACGATGATTATCATGCCATCATCTTTCCTAAAAGGCATCATTTAGTGTCAACTTCAATAAAATCCCATCTCTGCTGTGTCATGAAAGGAACCGGACTCACCTTAACAGTGCTGTTCTAAACAGCCTGCTGCTTTTTTTTGATCACTGAAGGAGGTCGTAATAAATTACAATCTGGAAGAAGTTTCAAACTGCAAGTCTGCCAGATATTTAAAGCAATTTATTTTGGGGTGTATCAGCAGATTTTTTCTTGCACTGCCATTTGAGTGTCTGCTGACGCAGCCTGAACAAATCTTTCAAACATTTTTCTTCCTAGATGGATAAAGATGATGATGCACTGGACTCCAAGATCCAGACCTTTCATTAACTCTTAACTTGCCAGTTGGTTCCTTCCTATTACCAGATCTGTAGTAAACTTAGACATCTATTTCCAGTATGAGTTTGCAGTATTTCACATCCTTCAGTGCCTTGGCAACAACTCTAATTTTTATGGAAGAATTGGCTAACAAAAGAGCGATTCTGGTTTTAGGCACAGAACTTATAGTTCAGATTATTTCATTACTAGTATTTTGAAAATTGCCAAACTTCCCAACAGAAAGAGGTCTGAAAATTTATATAAAACAAAGACTTATTTTTTCTTGATTCTAACATGTTGTGTCTTATAGTGACTTTTCTAATTTTAGTCTCATCTCATAGTGAAATCATTTTTTTTTTTAATATTAATGTTTGGCTCTGGAATTCCTAAGGCAGCTTTATTGATATATATTTTAGACATTTATTCAGAAAAGCTAAAAATACTGTTGCCTAAAATATTTGTTCTGATAAGACTGGAAAGCAAGAGATAAGGGAGCTAACTTTTATTGGGTGCCTGCATGGGGCCAGCCCCTTTTGTAAGCCACTACAAAGAGCGCGTGGGAGGGAAGAGATTCTCATTTTACAAAGAGCTGGTTCCTGGTCAGGTGAAAGGCACTGCTCAGTGAGTTGTTAAGAACATGATAAAGGCTTAAACTCCCGAAAGCATCAGGGAATAAGGTTGCGTGAGAAATGCCCTAGATCAGGAGTCATAAAACTGGAGTTCCTAAGTGACATTAAACGAGGTCATCTGGCTAGACCCCAAATGTTTATACACGTCTGTAATGTGAGGATATAATCTCTAGCCTGTCTTCCTTCCTAGATGATTTGGCACCATATAGTTCTCAAGCACAGCTGCACATTGGAATTACCTGGGAAGCTTTGAAAACTGACTTCTAGATCCCAACCTCAAGAGATCATGATTTGATTGGTCTGGGGTGCAGCTGGATATTGGGATTTTTAAAATCTCCACAGGTGATTCATGTGTGCAGCTAAAGGTGTGAATGAATCCTTGGTTTGGAGATGGTTAGGAAAGCCCCTTGTAAACTTATTTACAAGGTTTAACACATTACCGACCGTGTAGATAGTTTTCTTTTCCCATAGCTTCAAATGTTTTGCTTTAAAAAAAAAAAAAATCCAACTAATCTGTGAATGGCCCCAGTCTTTAGCACATAGGAAGCTTGATAAATATTTGTTGCTTTTGTGAATGTACAGCCTTTTAGAGTTTTAGAATCATTTGAAACATGGTTTGTTTGCGGTTTAATGTATAGAGCGGGTTAAGAGACAGGAGCTTTCTTTTGAAACATTCCCAAGAAATGCGAGCCTTTCTTGCTCAGCCTCGGTTCGCTTCACTCCTTCGCCCACGCCACGGCGTCTTGGGGCCCACCCTTGACCCCAGGTCTGGACGCACGCAGCGGACCTGGTGGGTGCCACGAGCTCCGGGGCGGGGCATTGGCTGGGCCGACCCTCCGAGCCCGCCCAGCCCACCCCGTCGCGGCGCCCCGCCCCGGACGCGGGTTGGGGCGGGCTGGTGGCGGCCCCCAGCCGCCGGGACTCCACAGCCGAGCCTCTGGGCTGCGGCGGCTGCCTTCACGACCCGGCGGGCCCAGTTTGGCCCCCGGGAGCCCGCGCTGCCCGAGCCTCCTACCCCACGGAGCCCAAGGCGAGCGCCTCGTACCCGAGCCCGGCAGGGGCCAGGATGCGGACCTGAACTCCTAGAACCGGACCCATGACCCTGAGCACATTGACCCGCGAAAGGAAGGCGCCTCCCGCCTGCACCTGCAGCCTCAGTGACTCCGACATGATCCCCTACTTCTCCGCCAACGCGGTCATCTCACAGAACGCCATCAACCAGCTGTGAGTGCACTGTGCGCCCTCCCGCCCTCCGGGAAACCTCGGAAAAAGTTTGCTTTCAGCAGCCGCCTTCCCCAGCACCCTAGGGAGCCAGCGAGCGAACAAGGGCGAAATTGCTGTCTGCGTGCTTGGAGGTCTTGGGACGTCCACGGGATAGTGGGGTGGAGATGTGGGGTAATTATTGGAGGCAGAAAGTGTCCCCGAAGGGTGAACGGACAGAAGAATCTTTTGCGAGATTCCAGTAAACTTTGAAGGAATCTGAAAGTGGGATCGGTCGTCCCAGGGAAGTTGTCTGTGGTGCCCGAATGACAGCCGAGCTGTATGGTACTCGGGAGACTCGGGGGGTGAAGGGCTGTCTAGCTTCTGAACCTCCGGCCGGAAACGCTGGGACTCCCTTGCGGATCCTGCTGGTAATCAGGCTCCCGTGTTCATTGTTATGTTTTTTGTTTCAGATAAGTTTGCGAGTGACCATAGGTTTCTGTTGGAAGGCGTTCACACAAAGACAGTTCATTCTTTGCTCCCGCTGATTGTAGTCCGGAGTTATTTCAGAAAACTGGATTCAGTAGTATGGCTGTTTTCTGTCTTCCCCTGTAGTAATACGTGCTCACAACCCAACCGTGCATGCACATCTTCATGCACTAAAGTGCAAGATTCAAGCGCATCTTTAAATCGTCACTATTTTTAAAGTCTCTGGAGTTGTCCTTCCTTTTACTTTTGTGGTTTAGCCATTTCTGAGAACTGTGTGCTGAAGCTTGTGGTTAATCTCACCTCACAGTTATAAAGTGCAGAATGGAGGAACTACCATCTATTCAAGTTGCACCCTTAGACTAGTGGAGTGGTTTAGGTTTACTTTATAGCAACAATTTGATCTTCGTAGTGTATTAGCTCTCACTCTGAAGTGACTTGGGGAGATTGACCTCCTGAGGTTTTCCCACATTCCTGGCACTTAATGCCTCTTTCTTCTTCCCAGGTCGACCCTGAAGAACTTTTTAATGTCCAACATTAAATAGAAACTTTCCATTATCTCTTGTTAAAAGTCCCAACAATGCCATGTAAAGTCATTTATAGATAATCTTACATCTAATTTATTATTTTAATTAATGGTTTGCACTCCGAACAAATCAAATTAAACTTATTTGAGTTTCAGCTTTTTCCCTATGTGTAGATTCATAGTAGAGATCCTAAAAAAATAGCCACTCCCAAAAAGTGGTTTTACTGTTCCATACTGTAAACTCTACAGAATTAAATCAACTGCTTATTTGTATTTTCTCTTAAATAAAAAGGACAAATGGTGTAGAAGAGAAAGAGTGAATTATATGAAACTAGATAACCAATCTCAAAATAATAGTGTTACAGTACTTTAAAAATAAAAAAAGGCAGTGGGAGCAACGCACATGTCCAGTGGAGGAATAAACAAAATGTGGTATATGATACAACTGAATATTATTTCAGCTTTAAAAAGGAAGGAAATCCTGACAAATTCTGTAACATGGATAAATTTTGAGGACATTATTCTAAGTGAAATAAGCCAGTGACAGAACAAATACTATATGATTCCACATATATGAAATACCTAGAGTAGACCAGTTGCCAGGGGTTGAGAGAGGGAGAATAGGAAGTTTGTGTTATATAGATACAAATTTTCATTTGAGGAAGAAGTAGTTCTGGAGATGGATGGTGGTGATGGTTGCCCAACAATGTGAATCTATTTAATGCCATGAAATGTACACATAAAATGGTTAAAAGGGCAAATTTTATGTATATTGTTTTTTAAAAGATGAAACAAAATTTAAAAGGCAGAGCTTCTAAGCTTTTCTTGGGAGGTGGAAATTTTGAATCTTGTTTCCTAGTATAAGCAAGGCCAGATTTCTTTTCCTACTAGTGTCTTTGGGTAAGTCATTTCATTTCAGTTTCTTCCACTGTAAAATGACGATACAGTGGTTCCTACCCCAGAGGGTCATAAGAGATCATATGTACAGTAACATTCTACAAACTATAAATCCCCACAAAAGAAAAAAAAAGTTAATTGAAGTTAAACAATAACCAATAGCTGCCATTTATTGACCACTTGTCACTGTGTAAAGAGTTTAATGTATGTTATCTCATTTAATCATCAGAGCAACCTTATGAACATATTTGTTCTGTTTACAGATAATGAAGCTGAGGCTTAAAGAAGTTAAATAATTGCTCAAGGCCGTATAGCTGGTAAATGACAAAACTGTCCTTAGAATCCAGGTCTATTTCCTGGACAGATGCTGTTAACCACTATAAAAATGATATTCTGTTTTAGTAGTTGCGAGGTCACTTTTGAAACACTCTTAGGAATTATCTTTTAACTGCTGATGTCTTCAACTTAGTAGCAAAAACATAATTGTTATACTAGAAATTTTGCTGCTGAAGTAGCCTGTTAAAGAATTTGAAGAATATTGCTCTAAAGATTTTTGTCTCTCTTTTGCCATGTTTTTTCCCTTAAAAGAGACTTGCTAATATCTTAATATTAACTTATTCTAAAATGTATTTGTTAATATTGCTTTAGTCATATTTTTATTTAGCATTTATAGTGTTGCCCAGTTCATCATCAATTAAATATCTTTAGGGATCATTCTGAATAAAACCCTAAATTTTATTAACTTAAACATTTGCATTTTTGGCACCTAGTGCAGAAGTTTTTAATTTGGGAACCATGGTCACCTGGAGTTCTATGGATTGACTTCAGAAGGTCATTGAACACCTTAAGATCATATGAAAATGTTGGGTAGACAAATATATTTTTTAAATCAGATTCTCAATGTGATTTCAGAAAAGGGCAAGAATCTCTTTCCCAAAGAGAAGTACTGCTTATAAAGCCTGATGCTGTAAAACTCAACTGATGTGAGCATTTATTTCCCAGTGGTGCCAGATATGTAAATAGCAATGACTAGTGGAAGCAACTAAAAGATTAAGATTTAGGGGCCTAAGTGAAGACAGTCAAAAAATTTAAAGTGTTTGGGGAAGGGAGTACTCTTAGCCCAGAGATTCTCTTGCCACTGCTGAGGACCCACTCATAAGAGCTTTTTCTCATTTGCTGCATGAGATTTGCTGTGGGTTTAGAAACCAAGTAACAAATCCTGTGAGAACTGTGTCAGTAAAAAGGCCAAAGTGAGAACCTAGGGGCTCTCTTGTGGAGGAAGTTCATGAACTTTAAAGTATGGCCTTTGGACACCTATTTTGGTGACTTCACAGGCTCTTTCTAATTTCTTGACTTTTAACTGTTATGTATTGTATAGTTGAAATTAGAGAATAGCTGGGAGCATAACTATTTTATTGAGAATTATGTTAACCATTATTAGATTAAGGTCTCCCTTTGCCATTGTATAAAACTCATCAAATATGGTGTTATTTTTGACAATGAAGAACATTAAGTGATTGAATAGTTACTATCATAAGTGTTAATCCTACTGGAAAAAATATGGGAGCAACTCAGAGCATCATCTAATCAAACTTTAAGAGTCTTGGATCAGACTGCTGAAATTATCATGAAAAGTTCCACTCCTTTTAAGAGTATACATACTTTTTAATAAAAACAAAAGTCTAAATTTCTGAAAAATACAGAAACTTATTTTTAGAGAGCCAACATTTAATCCGTGAGAAGTGGTCACTAAGTGGGCCAAGGTTATATGCGGAACAAATAGCTTTTTGGAATAATAGGTACGGGAGCATTTGAGATCTTGCTTCCCTGCATATGTCGTCAGTTTGGCTCAAATAAACTCATAAAAATTCAATAAAGAAAAAGTAAAGTGGTTCTTTTCGTGTCTTCAAACGTTCAGAGAAGGTTCAGGAGTTAGATAAAATGCTGGCAAAACTACCATTAAAACAGTGTTCCCATTATGAAAACCTCTGATCAAAAGTCTTAAAACTTAGGTGCTTGAGAGATGACTCGATTTGTTAATGAGGTTACCTTGAGCTTTTATCCTTGACCTAAAATACTTGTATTTATTTACTTGATTTCATATATGAGTTTGACTTTCTAGCTGAACATCAGTGCTTTCTAAAAGCTCAAGCTCAGCAACAGAGGAGTATATCAAGATGATTTTCCAAAACATACCTTTTCATGAAATTGAAAAGTGGAAACAGTTTTATTTTTGTGTTAACTAGTAATAGTACTAGTGCTCTTTCAGTTTTGCTCGATAGTTACCCAAGTGATTTCACATGTGCTCATCTCTGAACTTAAGCTTGCATCAGAATCACCTAGGTGACTTATTAAATTTAAAACATGAGTTGCTGCTCACACCCCAGAGTTTCTGATTTTGTAGGTATGGGGTGGGGCTAGAGAATTTGTATTTCTATCAAGTTCCTAGATGATGCTGGTCCAGGGACCACACTTTGGAGATTATACCCTTAAAGTATTCTTCTGAGGCATATTGGGCAAGTTGTCATCCACATTTTATAGAGTAATAAACTAAAAAAATTGAAATGGTGAAGTGATATTTTTGCACAGGGGTTTCATGATTTGTTATTGGTAGAATGAAACTAGAACCAGCATTTTCTATCTTGTGATCTAGAGCTCTTAGGATCTGCACTGGAAGTGAGATAGATAGATAGATAGATAGATAGATAGATAGATAGATAGATAGATAGATAGATAGATAGATGCATGCATGCATGCATGCATGCATGCATAGATTAGATAGATCTTTGTAAACATAAACTTTTCTTTAGATAAATTTCTAGCAGTGGAATTTCCTGGTCTAATGGAATGTATATGTTAAAAATTTGATACATACTGCAAAATTGCCTTCTAAAAAGGCTTTGCCAATTTGCCCTTACCAGCTATAAGGATATATCTTTCTTTGCACCTTCAACCTTGGTAATAATGACATTAAATAGTTAATTTTTTTGCTGTATGCAGGCATTATTTTGAGCCCTGTGCGTATTAGCCCATTCTCTCTTCTTAACAATCTTATGGGTTAGATATTACCCTCAATCACAGATAAGAGGCATAGAGATGTTGAGTAACTTGTCTA